ATGCATATCCATAATTTCTTGTAGCAGTGAATAGAATATTATCTTAATTCATTTGAAGCAGAAGCAAGACTTCGACATTTCCGATTGGGAAACGATCATAATGTAAAATCACCTATTTCAAAAAAAAAACTTAATAAACTTTTTCGGAAAACCTTATGGGTATGTACCAACGAAAATGCGACTTTTTCGCTATTTGCGTGATTGGTGCCCTGCACGCTAAATGTCGTCGGTCTTTGCTGAAATATTAAAAAGAAACTTACATTATTTTTTATTGCCAAGACGCAAAAAGCATATGGTTTGTGAGCAGTTAGATGCGGAACTTCGAGATGACGTGAGTTCGGGCTCATCACTGTTCGCGCAGTCCATCTCTCAGTGTCGGAGCGCCCCCCGGGCTCGTGCATATACTTCACAACGAATCCATCAACCTGTAATTTTAGGTGACACTCCAAACATTACTACACAACTAGTTCATATTCGCAGAGGTGCTAAAACGTATAAGCGAACTAATTCAAAACTACCTGTCCATTCTCAAAGTCCCACTGAACCACAGCTGAGCTGTTCGACGTGGCCTCTACACGGATGTTTGTGGGAGGACCGACTAGTGCTGAAATGAAAACCTTAAGAAAATGTAGCAAAACCATCATTCTCTTGGATTTCTGCTGACAGCTAGTTAAAGCTTATTGCCTGGTGTCAGTAGGGAATTGATGACGGCTGACAAGATGCCGCCTTGGCTGGATATTGCCGTTGCACGACGATTAGTAGAGAAATGAGTTCCACTACTCTTCTTTCTCTTAATGACACCAGCCAGAGTGTTTTTTGTGACGAGCACAAGGTCATTTTTAGTGCTTGCTGCCACCACACTTCGATCGTTCTCTTCGCGAATAACCACATTATTCCGCATAAAATCAGAGCGAGAGAACGGCAGTTGGTGCCTTGAGCGAACACGAATTGGTTGATGCACATCTTTGATGAGTGAGTAAAGGCTGATTGGCAGTTGAAGTAGACCACCACTCTTCGCTAGTGATACTTCTACAGAAGCTAGCAACAATTGTATTAAGAATCGTCGGAAGAACATGCCCTAGCCGGTGGTGCTCATCGGGGCATAAGTGGAATAGACATACATTTTCGATGCCGCAGTGGACATACACCAATAAACGGAGCAAAGCGCGAGTCTCAATAGCATGGATAATAGCTGGCAGAACGGAAATCGCGTAAAGGTACGCGCTCGCAAACTCAAATAGCCGCAGTAAATGTTCGCTCATATTCAGCACAAGCACTGTCTTCTTGAAAGGGATTAATTAAAGTAGCGTATGTGATAATCAGATAAGGTTAGTGCAAGCATACGTCGCATTTTTCAAAGTTTGCCTCACCCTCCCCACCGCATTGAAATGAGTAGAATAAGTAGCTACAGACGTTCGATCGCAAGAGCTACGCAAGCTAAACGTGCAATATTTAACACTACTGTTATAAATTAGAAGCCGGAGAGAAAAGGGAAGAACAAAATGCATGTAGTGAGATAGAAAAGTGATAATGTTTGAAGCATATGTCGAGTTGCGCCACAACGAAAAAATCATTTGCAAAAAAAGTGAAACCTTTGCAAACAAAATACTTACGGAACCACATACTTGATATTTTCGATAAAAACCAAGCAGTGGAGGAGAA